ATATATATATATATATATATATTAATAAAATTTGTAAGTACTCACTTAATAAATATCTACATAAATATGAAACTATTTTTTATCAAATGAGATAAGAGACATGGACCTATTACCCACCTCTAAACTTCATTGTCACCTCTTTCCACAATCTCATTATACCTTATAAGTTGTATTAGTGTTTTATATTTGTACATTTTAATTTAAATGTCTCTGTGTTTGATGTTTTTGTTTATTTAATACTACTATTATTATTATTATTATCATTTATTTTATCTGATTTTAATTATTTTTATAAGGATTATGGTTCATATTAAGTTAAAATATTATACTTATATTTTTTAATTTAATAGTTAACATGAAGTGAAAAAATCATTACATGCATAATTATTTTTTGTTTTTTTTTTAATTTATGTCAAAATAGTTAATTATAATAATAAGAATATATATATATATATATATATATATTAAAACTCATGTTAACAATTAGATACCCAAAATCAATTTTGATTTAATGTATTTAAACAACATTTATGAGAAAAATGTTGAAAAAACAATGATGGTTATGAGAAATTACAAATGATATGTAAATTGACAATCATCACGATTGTTGTGTTATTTACGGAACCTTTTGTCCTACGTATAAAAGACTAAAACATATGACACATGTATCACAAAACATGTTACTTGTTATAAAAAATTTAAAAAATAAATAAAAAGAAGCAAGCAAAATCCAAAAGCATCATACAAATAACAAAATAAAGGTATTCAAAAAAGCATCATGCAAAAATGCCATAAAATAACTAATTTGAAAAATTATAATCTCATATATCCTTGGGTTCATTTAATGGTCTGTGTGCCACGACAAAGTTGGAAAACCTCAATAATGCGACCGGAGATGTTATATATCAAAACATGCATTTTTGGGAGGATGAGTTTGTCAATTGTCATACTATTGAATTAGAATTCACGAGATCACATTCATGAAAATTTTACGTCAAATCTAAAAAATTGATAGAGAAACTATTAGTTGCTTTACAAACAGTGTGCATGATGTCAAACTAAACTCGTTACAAAAGTATAGTTGTATTTTTGTTGTTGCTTAATTGTATTTTTTTTTTAAACGCAAGTTGTCCCACAACGGAAATCATGAGACTAATCCTTAAAGAAGTAATGTACCACTCAAGAGTATTCCTTTACTTACATGTGTTGTATTGTTTTATTTGCATAGTCATGAATTAAATGTCATATCATTAAAAAAGGTCCAAACTACTAGTCACTTATGTAAAATCCCAATTTTTTTGAAAAAAAATAAAATAAGTTAAAATTAATTAAACTATTTTCAAAAATATTAGTTATAGTGTTTGACTTTTAATTGAATCTTAATTAATAATAGAGTGAAAATCCTTTTGAAAATAGTTGAATTTTCAATTAAATAATTATTATAAATATTCAAGAAGAGATTTGAAAATAAAAAGGTTATACTCTCATATTGATTTATGAAATAAAAAGTATTTTGTGTTGTTAAATTAGTCTTTGTAATCTAATAACTTTTGGTTAATCAAGATAGAAAGTATAACTTAATACCCTTATTTTTTTATGTCTCTTAGAACTCTCTCGTGTCATCAGAATCGTATGAAGAAGAGCTTGAAACTAGTAGAGGAAGAGATTACATCATCGCAACCTTGCCTTTATTGGAGCTTTATTCATGTAAGGGGGTACTTTGCTCATGGATGTAGAATAAATGTGGAAAGTGAAGTTGTCCCTCAACACTGGAAGTTGTATGATACATGTTTTGGAGAGACTTTGAACACTCTCAAGTTACGTTAAATCTATGTGACTTTATTTGAGTGCATATTATGATTACTGTATATTTGGTTGAACATTGATAATTTGAGTTTAACCCTAAAAGGACTTATCTTAAAGTAATAATGTAAAATATATATATATATATATATA